TGGTGGCGTCGACGGTGCCGGACCTTCATGAGCCCGTCCTCGTAAAGGGGACGAGCCCGAAGAGCGCCGCGTAGGGCTTCTCGCGCAGACATGGCCGGGTCGAACGCCGGGTCGACTGGAGCGGCGATGACGGCGGTCGGGTCGATGTCGAGGACGGGCCGAGACGTGACAGTGACAGCGCGAACGCCCTGTGGGGCCGGGGAGCAGGTGCGTCATTCAAGTGCTTGAATGGGAGGCACCCACGGGGCGGTAACGCAGCGGCGCACCGCACTCTCGTCCGCGATGTCCGTGTAGCACTCGGTGGTCGCCTGCGACAAGCCGCCGCGGTGCGGTTGTAGGCCTTCGAGCAGGTACGCGCAGACGGTACGCCGACCTCGTACTGCGAGGGAAGCGGCAGCGACCGAGGAGGCGATGGTGAAGTGGGCTGCCGGCATGCCGGAGATGGCGACGCGGGCCTGCGCGCGAACGAAAAGGGCTGTGGAGGCAGGCGGGAAGGCGGGCGGGCGGAGGGGGGAAGACGATCTGGAGGGAGGGGCGAGGGCGCCGCGGCCGGCACCTTCTCCGGACACGGCCCGCCGCCCTTCATGAGCTGAGAGACCGCCCTCGATGCGGACGAGCCCGAAGAGCGCCACGTAGGGCTCCTCGCGCACACATGGCCGGGTCGAACGCCGCGTCGACTGGAGCGGCGATGACGGCGGTCGAGGGTCGATGTCGAGGACTGGCGGCGCTGACGGTGGCGGCGCTGACGGTGGCGGCGATGACGATGGCGGTGTGCTGGCTGTGGCGGCGCTGACGGAGGCGGCGATGCCGGCGGCGGTACTGACGAAGGCGGCCGTGCGGGCGGCGGCGAGGAAGGCGGCGTCACCGGTGGCGGCGACAGCGGCGGGATGACGGAAGGCGAGGGGGGTGGCAAGGGCGAGAGCGGCGGCTTGCTGGAAGGCGGCGGGGGCGAGGGCGGCGGGGGCGAGGGCGGCGGCGAGGGCGGCGGCGAGGGCGCGGCGGCAGCGGCGACGGCGGCGGCTGGTGGAACCAGCTCTCGAACTCGTTGCTGAAGCCGCACGCACGGTACGAGTAGTGCAGGGCGGCGCCCACCACGTACGCGGTCGTGCTGTACTCGGTGCTGCACGCGGCCGGGTCGACGTAGCACCACTCGTGCTCGCACCGGACGGGGTAGCCGGTCGAGTTGCAGGATGGCTCGAGCCCGCTGTCGTGCGGGTCGCACCCGTGGAGGCCGTACGTGCCGGGGTACGCGAGGCTCACGCCGTCCGCCGTGACGACCTGCACCTCGCCGCTAGGGCGGGGGCGGCGTCGGGGGCTGCGATTGTGGCGGCGGCGAGGGCGGCAGCGAGGGCGGCGGCGAGGGTGGCGCCGGCGAGGGTCGAGACGAGGGCGGCGGCGGCGAGGGCGGTGACGATGGTGGCGGCGGCGAGGGCGGCGGCGAGGGCGGCGGCGAGGGTGGCGGCGGCAGCGGTGGAATTGTGGGAGGCGGCGGCGAGGGCGGCGGCGACGGGGGCGGCGCTGATGGAGGCGAGGGCGAGAGCGGTGGCATGCCGGACGGCGGCGGAGGCGCTCTGCCCCTCCCGTGAAGAGCTCGACGGCCTTCTCGAGTAGGATGGCCTCGCCGAGCAGGCAGCGGCCCCCGGCACAGGTCGCTCCTCGCCGTCCTCGCCAAGCGTCGCCGGCGGCTGCGCGGAGGTGGGGAGGTGCAATGTCTGGTGAGAGGGAGAGGGGCAGCGATGGGTGAGGCGCTAGATCCTCCCGGCCGCGGGTGGGTCGGTGCGAGCGGAGCTCTGGTGGCGAGGAGGAGGCGGGCTGTGCAAGAGGGATAGGAGGGGACGCGGGGAGGACTACTGGCACGAGCGCCGTGATGCCGATGGGGCGAGCTTCTGCTGGTCGAGAACATCTGTTTGTGTGGGGTGGGGGG